ACTTTTATTTTTAATTTCGACTCCTGTTTTTAATTTCGACTTTTATTTTAATTTCGACTTTTATTTTAATTTTGACTTCCATTTTAATTTTGAAATATCAAAATTTTGAAATGGTATTTTGGGGTCAATTTCAGGATATTTATATATCAGGTTTTGGGTCTCAAAATAATTTTGTGTGCAAGTATAGGTAGGATGTAGAAAATAAATATTTAATATGAAAATAAACTAATAAATTAGCTATTATATTATTTCTAAAATGGATTTCTCAATCAGATAGAATTATATGCAGACAACCATGTTAACAAATAATGTTTTCAAATATAAATTTAGCAACTTTGCTTGTAGTTGCTTCACTAAGGGAATGAGCTTCTAGCCATTTTGTCATATAGTCAGTAGTAACAATGATGTAGCATTTATCTCTTGGAGTTTGGGGTAAAGGTCCAATGATATTGATTCTTATTTGTTAAAAAGGATCATTTACTGAAATAGGTTGTAATAATTGAATTTTCTTTTGTTTTTCTCTTGTTTAGCTGTATCACAGGTTTGTATATAAGATTTAATATTGTCATACATCCATGATCAATAATATATGCTTCTAATTTTTTCAAAAACTGTATCAATACCTAAGTGTCCTTCTAAAGGATAATTATTCATCATGAAGATAACAGGTTCTACTTCATGAGGTTTTAATACTTTCAATAGTTTGTTGTAGATTTTGTGTCTGCGATCTTTTTTTGTATAAAATATTATTTTGTATTTTATAAAATCTAATTTTTAACTTATCCACAATTGACAACAATAACAAAAGAAGATTAAAGTGTTGTTGGAATAAATAATTTAAAAGATATTGGTATTCTTGTGTCAGGAAATTTTTGAGGACAAATATATCTGGATATATGACAAATATATCCAGATAAATTTATAATATGTAGATATATGCAGATATATGTGGATTAATGTGTGGGTGATCAGATTTATTCATATATATCAGGATTTATAAATTATAAAATGGAAATAATTCATCATTGTTATAACATAATAACTTTTTATTTTAATAAGTAAATTCTGAATAGTGCAATAATTAAGTTGAAAGCAAGAATGATATGCATCTTTTATAAAAATTTCAGACCTATATCATCAAAACTGAGCAAATTATGAGTGGTTAATTTTGAACACAATAAATTATTTCCATTTGAAATTTAATCACTCATAATTTACTCAATTTTGATGATATAGGTCTGAAATTTTTATGGAGGATGTATATCATTCTTATCTTTCAACTTACTTATTGAGTGTTTGATATTTACTTATTGAATCAAAAAGTTATTACATTGTGATGATGATGAATTATTTCCATTTTGTAATTTATAAATCCTGATTTATGCAAATATATCTGGATAAATTCATGAACTAGCCTATGTAGATCCTATTTAGATCTCCTAACTTCAGCCAACCCTAACCTTAACTCTGGTAGTTGACATCTAGTCAGATATATTTGAATTTATAAATTACAAAACGGAAATTATCCATAATCGTTACAACATAATAACTTTTTATTTTAATAAGTAAGTGTCAAACACTGCAGTAAGTGAGTTAAAAGAAAAAAACATATGCATCTCTTATAAAAATTTCAGACCTATATCATCAAAATTGAGCAAATTATGAACGGTTAATTTCGAACACGATGAATTATTTCCGTTCGAAATTTAGACGTTCATAATTTGCTCAATTTTGATGATATAGGTCTGAAATTTTTACAGGAGATGCACTTCATTTTTATCTTTTAACTCACATACTGCAGTGTTCGACATTTACTTATTAAAATAAAAAGTTATTATGTTGTTACGATTATGATTATTTCTGTTTTGTAATTTATAAATTCTGATATATGCGGATATATGCGGATATATGCGGATATATCCGGATAAATTTGCAAATATATCTATGAATATATCCAGATATTTAATGTGGATAAATGCGCGGGTGGTCGAATATATTCGAATTAATTTAAGGCTATTAAAATTTCCTGATGTGGTGATTTCTTTGCAAACTGTAACAACAACAACATCATTAATGACGATAATCATGCAGCTGCCAGTGGTCGCTAGCTTCCACTCGAACAAATTCGATCCAAAATTCCTTTAAAAGAACCAAGTGTTGATATTTGGAATTTAGGTGTTGTCCTGTACGAGATGGTCACCGGTCAATTGATTCATGGATGACTTCATGCCTAGGTTACAATATAAAATTATAAACGGTCGATATGATGAAACTCCACTAATCTATGAAAATGTTTATTGAAACGAATGTTTAAAACAAAACCTAATGAAAGATTAATATTAATCAAATATTAGGATATGAGTGGTTAAACCCTGATGATTATTATTATTTTTATTTTTTTTTCTATTTCCATTTATTTCTTTTCATGTTAATTTTTTTCTTTTATTTTTATTATTTTTTTCTTTTTTTTTTCTTTTCCCTTTTTTTTTCTTTTCTATTTCTTGGGTTGGGTTTGATAATTGTGACAATTTAATTGTAAAGATGATATCATCAAATCAAAGGTATCAAATATATAATAAGTTCAATTACTCGATTCATTTAATATATTATAATTTACTGTTCAAGAATTGATAAATTTCTTACTATCCAATTGACTTTTAATATTTGCTAGATGGAACTATTATGGTTCTTCCAGTGGCGTTATCGCATAAAATTAATTAATCAAAAAATAACATAAAAAAATAAATTTAAATGAGAAATTCATCTCTTAATACTTGAATAATTGAGTTTTCTGAATAATGAATTTCAAAAAAAAAATTTCTTTCAGAGTTCTTATTTCTGCCTTTTATTTATGAAAAAACGTTAACGGTCAATAATTCAAAAATGCATATATCTATGTAAACAATTACATTTCAATGCACATTAAACTATCATCAATGATTAAAAAATAATGTCAAGTGTGTATTATCAATTCGGAATATTGTAAATCAACAATAAGTTTGTTTTATCAAATAAATAATCCATGAAATTTCAGTTATCGATCCTGGAAGGAACACAATTATTAATGATTGATAAACTCATATAATTATTCACACGATTTGAAATATTGAAAATTTGATTTTTCTATCCAAGAGACGGCTACACTATTATGAATGTCTCTTTTGGTGAAAAAAATAAATTTAAAGAATTTATAAAACCAGTATTGGAATTCATCTTTTAATACTTGAAATAATAGGATTTACATGATTTCTTTTATTTTGTAAAAAAATTTTGTTTCCTTCTCGGAGTTGCTTCTTTGACCATATTTATTATATATGAAAACATCGCTTAATAAAAGATGCAATTAATAAATTTTTTTTTTAATATAAAGTTTAATTTATGAATATTATTTCAGTATTTCAAGAATTCTCGTGGCTTGAATTTACTTTTTCTTTTTTTTTTTTTTACGTAAAATAAAAATTATAGCAAAAAATTGATTATTGTAGATACTGTATTCACGGGTGGCTATGCAGTCTGAATTTCTGTTTGCTACCGTATTTAAATAATGCCGATTTTAGACTGATCAGCAGAAGATACCTTATGCATTTCTAAAATTAAATTGACCAAAAATGTTAAGTCCGATCTCAAGTTAAAATTAGATGTAATGATGATCAATTTACGAATATCCGTGGTCCGCACTTTTTTTTTATCCACGGATCGGATCACTACAACCGATTTGTTGACATAAATAAATGATCTGCATTCAGAAAACTATTTGTATGAGCGAAAAATTAGAATTATTCGTTGTATTTTTTAAAATGTATTTCTCTTTTGAATCAATTCCAACATTCGTGTGGGTATTCATAGCTACCTATGTTATTTATTGGATTAAGACTCCAAAATTAAGTAAAGTAAGTTTATTTTTTTTTTATATAATATTTATTATAATATTTATTTTATTTTTTTTTTTAATTTTAACGAACTTCATTTCTTTTTCTCCAGAATGAACCTCCAATGGTTCCTTATAAAATTCCAATAATCGGCCATACATTAGATTATTTGTTTAATGCCGAAAATTTTTTGGCCGAATGTAGACAAAAAGTAATAATTCATTCCTATTCCTAATAATCAAGATTTTTTTTTTTTTTTAAAAAAAAAACAAAAAAAATAATTAACAAAAAATTTTGCATGCATAGTACGGTGATCCTTTCAATATATATGTATTTGGTCAGGTGAATACTATAGCCGGAAACGAAATTGCTCATGAAGTTTTTAAGACCGATGCTTTTAGTGTTCCCAGCGCTACGCGAGATGTAAATAAATACAATTAATCAATCAAATACCATACTTATTTTAGAAATTATACTTATTATATTACATTAATATATTACACATGGTCAACTTAGATATTTCCTTTGCATCGTGTTATAAAAAGTTATAATGAAAAAACGAATGACCGAGTAATCAAAACGGTACGCGAAGGAATTACTGCAAAATTACCTTTATACACTGGAAGAATGCAAAAACAACTTATGATTTCAATTAATGAGGAAATTGGAGATTGTTATAGTAAGACACTTATTCTCTTTGGATTATTTTTGAAATAAAAGATAACAAAAATAATAATTATTATTTATTTGTTTAGACCCTAAATTTATTAACACGGCGAATGAAAATTTCGCAAGAATGATCGCTCGCCCAGTCGCTGATATTTTGGTTGGACAGGTAAGGTAATTGTAAGTTATAAATATATGTAATAAAATCTTATTGTCTTTAAATTATATTTAAGGAATTATCAAAAAACGAAGACGTGGTCAAAGCCTTTGCCGATTTTACCAAAGATTTTTCAAAACTTGTCGGAATACCTCCCATTCTTTCATTCATTCATCCAAATCTCCACACTCAAGTTATCACTTTACCACTTAGATTTGGGTTGAATCCAACTAGGAGACATATTACCACTTTAAAGATACATTTGAAACCTGTTTTGGAGAAAAGATTGAAAGATAAAGAAATTCTTGGTGATAAATATGAACCACCTGTGAGTACAAAAAAAAATTTTTTTAACGTAAACTTTAACACTATTAAAGTAAAATTAATTCTATTTTAATAACAATAGCTGGATATAATTGAATATTTATTGAATAATCCTGAATTCGAAACAAAAGTTATTACTGATGATTACTTGAATAAAATCTGTGAATTTTTATTTATTATAATTGTTGCCTCTATTCACACCACTTCTCGTCATATTACTAGTGCTCTTTATGGTAAAAAAAAAGATATTTTACATCCATTAAATTATAATCATTTAATGAAATTCTCACTCATTTTATAATTAATATTATTTTTTATGTTTATAATAGATTTTGCGGGAAGACCAGAATTATGGGATGATATTTATGAAGAACAATTTAGAATTGATAGAGAATGCAATGGTGAATTATCATCTCAACATATTAGCAAAATGGTGAAATTGGATAGTTTTTTGAGAGAATCTTTAAGGACTTTTGACTCTATAGGTATGTAAATTTTATATAAGATATATATATATATACATAATTACTAAAGAATAATTTTTTAAAAAATAGTTACCGCTACTCACAGATGTTTGGAATCATCTACATTAAAAAATGGCATGACAATTCCAAAAGGTACAATTCCATTTTAAAAATTTCTTTTATTATTTATTTTAATGACATATTCCATTTGATAATATTGAAAACGTTAATTTTTTTTTTAAAAAAAAAATAAATTTCTGATCTGTCAGGTCGTCTAGTTCAAATTTATTTAATGGATCTTCATTACAATACCTCTGCATATGGACCAGAACCAAAGTCATTCCTTCCTAATCATGGTTTAGAAAATAATATCCCTGCATCAAAAACTGATAAAAATTATGTTACATTTGGCGCTGGTAGACATGCTTGCCCTGGAAGGTTGGTATTTAAAAATTATTTAATAATTAATATTTTATAAAAAATTTCATAATTCTTTATTAATTAAAACTTAATTGATTTTTTTAAACAGATTTTTTGCTGTAAATGAAATTAAAGTTGGTTTGCATAAATTAATTTTAAATTATCACATTAAGACACCAAGTGGAAAGGTTGAAAAAAAGATACATATTGGACCTTTTTCTAATCCACCAGTTTCTGGATTAATTTTCGAGAATAGAAAAAAATAGACAAAAAACTTCATTTATTTGAACTTTTAGAAAATTACAATTTTTTATTTTCCATGGATTTGTAGAATTTCGATTTATTATTACAATTTAAAATAAAGCATATTATTTGTTTTTATTCTTCTAATTTGAGATTTCAATTTGCAATAGAATATCTTTACCTTAGTTAATAATATTTGGTAAAAGATAACATTAAAATTAGATTCTATAATTTTCTTGTATTTATTTATTGTTATTAACAAATAATTCTTTGCTTTGTACACTAATGGATGGAGAAATAAGATGCTTGTTTGTTTAAATAAATGTAAAACCTCATACCATTAAATCTAAATTTAATGGAATTATTTTCAATATTTTATCCATACATTCATATATTTCCAACAATTTTAGATTATTGTGCAAAGTTACCAAATTAACTTTACGCAGTTCAAGTCTGAACAAGTAAAAGCAATATTTAATAATAATTTAAATGAATTAAGAAGATTTTCATTTAGTTGTGGAGATGCATCTGATGCCAATAAATTATTATGTCAAATAGCCAAAAAATGTACCAGAATTACTTGAAATTATTAAATTTAGAATGTGGCATGCATGGATATTTAGTGCTAATAGGTTAAGTAAATTTTTTGAAGGGTGGTGTCGTAAAGGAGGAGAAGAAAATAAAAAGATTATTGTAAAACATACAGTACAAGCGTGACTATATATATTAAGTGTTGAACATTTTAAAGTTATTGAAGAATACGGAGTTCAATTTGATATAAAATAATAATATTCCAAACAAATGATATTTCAAATACAGTCTAGCCTCTCTATAATCACATCATCGGGACCAGCATATTCGGTGATTATAGAAAATTGTGATTAAGAATATTTGGTCTCCATATAATCACCTAATCACCAATACATAAGTGGTGATTATAAAAAATTTTATAATAATAAAAAACAAAAAATGATATATTATTTTATATTATTTTATTAAAATATTTATTCTTTATTATATATTTTAAAAGAAATTTACAAATATTTTAATTAATTTATCCATATATGCTCAAGTGAAACTTGTTTTTTATTTTTTTCACATCTCCACTCATACAGTATAATGATAATCTTTTATATAAATAATTAGATGAAATTTTATTATAATCATCATTATCAGTTAATTGTTCTTCATATCTAATTAAAACTTTCAATGCATTTAATGCTTCTTTAGAAGTAACAAGAGGTAAAGGTAATCCTTCCTTTTCTTCTTCAGAATCTGGAGGTGAATTATTTTCAATTTCATTATCTGCCAATAACTATTTCAGTTTCAGAAAGAATATCTTCAGTCAAAAGAGATTCCTCATAATATTAATATAAGTTTCTATTTCATTAATTAATTTTTGATGTGCTGTATTTTCTTCAGATGATTTTTCATAACGAAAATTTGTAAGCTCAATATTTTCTTCAGATGGTTCATTAAGTTCACTATTATTCATTAAATTTGGTAAAATTCCAGTTTTTCCAACAATTGTGAATTGTTGTTATAGTTACATCATCCCATGAACGAGCAACATATTCAATTGCTTCTTTTACATTAATTTTGTTTCTAAATAAGAACAAATATTAATTTACAAAAAATTAAAATGATAAATTATATAAAATTTACTTACTTTTCATGATCAATATTTTGTTCAAATTGATTTAATACATGTCAACAATAATAATGCTTATATTTTGCCTTGAACTTTTAATAATTCCTGCATCAAGTGGTTGAATATGTGATGTTGTATTTGGGGGAAGATAATGAATTGTAATATTAGTTAAATTAAGAGGTTCATTGTTTTCAAATTGCTGTTTATTTTTTTTTTGAGATTTCTTGTCATTTATTATTTGATTTTGATGATTCTTGAATTGGATTTGTATCTGAATCACTTTCATTAATATTATTTTCATCTGTAATATGACTAGTATGAGAAGGTGCATTGTCAACTAGAAGAAGAACTTGATGATTTTGAATTTGAAACCCTTTGTCATGATATTTTAACCATGTTTTCCAGATATCACTACACATCCAAGCCTTACTGTTCTATTTATACATTACTGGTAAATTTGAAACATTAATATTTTTAAAACATCTAGGATTTTTTGTATGACCAATTACTAATGGTTTTAATTTATGTGTTCCAGTAGAATTTGTAGCAAGTAAAACTGTAATTCTAGATTTATCCTTAAATAAATAAACGATTATTTAATTAATGTTAACTAATAATTTAAAAAATAGTTGATATTTTTATTAAATTATTTACTAATTTTTTTCCTGCTCTTGATCGATTAGCTAAAGTTTAATTAGGTGCCATTCTAAAAAAAAAGTCCTGTTTCATCAGCATTATAAACATCTTCTGGATTATATTTTGATATTAATTCTTGTAATTTTAAACATTCATCAACTAATGATTCCAGAGGAGCAGAATCAGCTTCCCCATGTAATTTATACATACGAATAGAATTTCTTTTTTTGAATCTTGTTACCCATCCTCTAGAGAAATTAATCTGATTTTCTTCAATATTAAAATAATTTGCAAAATCCCTTCCTTTTTCTTGAAGAATATCATCAGAAAGTATCATATCACCTGCAATAGCTTGATTTGTCCAATATAAAAGAGCTTTTTCAAGTAAAGGAAATTTGACATCATGGTGTTTAACAATCAAAGATGCATCAGATAAAAGCCATTTCTTTTGTTGTGATAAAATTTTTGTAATAGTAGACCTTTCAATATTAAGATTATATTTTGAACTAAAGAAAGTTGCAATATCATTATGTCAGGTTATAGGATGTTGTACTGCATATTGACATACTTCAATATGTTGAGAAACATTTATTGCACTTTGTTTTTTAGAAAGAGACATGATGTATGAATGGATAAAAAATTTTGATAGATTGAGATCTAGATTGGACAAAAAATTTAATAGAATTCTTAGATTATCTAATAAATCCATAATGAAGATCAGATCATCAATAAATTTTAAATTAAATTTAAAATTGTATTTAATTTTATTTAATTTCAGTATAAAAGAATTAATTTACAATATTAATATCAAAAAAAAAATTGTAATTAAAAAAAAAATTAACATAAAATATAATGGTTTATAAAAAATTCAACTTAATTTTCAAGGGAAGAAAGAAGAATTTACTTACAACTTCAAAGGAAATAAAGAAAGAAAAATTAAAAAAAAGTAAGTAAATAATTATTTATATTTTTAATAAAAAATAAAATATAAAAAAAATACTTACATTCAAATATTTAAATATATCTTTCCCATAATAGTTCTACTGATTTCAAAGAAAAAACTTATAACTTCAAGAAGGTCAAAAAATGAAGACAAATAAGAAGAATAGGCAAAAATTATTATTTATATTTCTTTTTTAATAAAAAAGAATAAAAAAATATTTACATCAAATAGATCTGTATGCCTGCTCCAATTCCACCGATTCCACTAATTCTAACAAAAGAATCTCATGGTCACAACTTCAAGCAAAAGAAAGAAGAAATAAAAGGAGACAAATAAAAAAACAGGTACAAATAATTTTTTTGTTTTATTTTTTTTTTTATAAAATTAAAATTAAAATAAAAAAATACTCACATTTAATATATCTATACATTCGATTTACTGATTTCAAGGAAAGAAGGATCTACTCATGACTTTGAGGAAGAAGAAAAAGAGAAGACAAGTGAGGAAGAAAAGAGAAGTGAGGGAAAAAAGTAAGTAACTTATTTTATATATATATATATATATATTTATAAAAAAAATAAATAAAATGCTTACATCCGCATCTACAACGGTTTTAATGGTTTTTTTTTAAAAAATTAATTAAAATTTAAATTTTTTTTAAGAAAAAAATTCTAACTTATTCAACCTACTGATTTGCAGCATAAGATCGGTGATTATAAAGGAGGAGCATTATTATGTATCAGAACTAAAAAATCGGAGATTGTGATTATACAGTATAAGAAACTTTTAATTAAAAAATCAGTTGGTTCCAGAAGATAGGTTGATTATATATAAATGTGATTACTTAGGGTGTGATTATAGAGAGGCTAGACTTTATATATCAAATCAGAAAATATATTTAGTTATATGATGAGTTACGTTTTCACTGATCATTTAGGTTGAATATGAGAATATTGAAAATATTAAAATACTATGTGCTTAAAATCAATCGTATATGAAATTCATGAGACCTTTAGACAATGATTTTATTAGTGAAAAAAATTATTAACTAACATTATTTGATAAGCTTTGGTATAATTTTATATGATTTTATTATTTTACAATTTAAATTTTATATTTATTTAATATCATAAGCTTTGATATAGTTTTATAATCCATTATTGATTTTATTGTTAAAATTAATTAATTTAATTAAAAATAGTAACTAAAAAATAATAAAATATTAATAATTACTTTAATGATTATAGAATATTTGCTTAATATCAACATAATAATCATGTAATTTATTCATATTTAGAGAACAACTGTAAAGTGTTTTTTTGCTTCATGAATAAACTAGAATTCAGTACTGGTGCATTTTATTCTCTTAAATTTAATGTTTACAATTGTATATTTTGCAATTTAGAAATACTAAATATTTATATGAATTTAATAATAAATAATTTCATTACATTTAACAAAAATAAAAATAAAAAATAAAAATAAACAAATAACTAATAAAAATATATAAATAAAAAATAAAAATAAATAAATAAAAAATAAAAATAACTCAAATGATTTGAACGCGCTCAATTATTAGAACTTAGAAATTTTATTGCATTATTAAAGACTTACGATTTGATGCTAAATTCTATAATTCAAAAAATCGTCCAAATGATTTTTTTTTGATTTTTTTTTTGATAAGTATTTATGAAGATTAATTTAGATCATAGTAAATTTAAGTTTTAATTATTAGATTTGAATATTTAGCAATGAATAAAATTTACGGAAAGCGATCTACATATAAGAACCATAAACTCATTCCGGAATAAGTAATGTTTCTGATTTAAACATATTTTTTAGTCTCAAATGACAATATCAATAAATAAAGAAATATACTTTTTTTAACGATTAATTCGTGATTTATATAATTGATTACTAGGCAACTTTTCCCAATTATATAAAAAAATTAATTTTTTAATCGTTAAAAAAGGCATATCTCTTTATTTTATCGATGTTGTCATTTGAAACTAAAAGTATGTTTGATTCAGAAACATTGCTTTTTTATGATGTTAATGGGAAAGGACTTTTATAAGATCGTTCTCGTGATATTCTTATTCTGGAACGAGATTATAATTCGTATATGTTGATCTCTTTCCGTTTATCGCAAATTAAAAATTAAAAAAATAAATTTTTATATATAGATTTTGCAGATTTCTTTTTAAGTTTTACGATTTCAAAGTTTATTATAAAGCACAAATAATTATCTGTTTTTTTTTTAATAATAGATTTTAGAGGAAAATCGCTCCTTTTGAGAAAAAGGAAATGATCTTCGTGTTTCGCGTTGGAATTTTTTTGATTCAAAGGGTCCATAGCTATAGTGTCAAGTCGCTGCATCAAGCCTAAAAGTTATGAGATGCACTTTGCGGTATGATACATTTATCCCATTTGACGATCACCTTTTATTTTTATAAAATTGTTACAAATGTGGTTGAAATCGGCATAAATTTTATTTTCGCGTGTATGTTATCAATTATTTCTACAAGCAAAATAAATCAATTTGGATGATAAATTTTTTTTTATTTTCGTTATTTTTTCATGCAATTTTTTGGCTGAAAGTTATGAGATGCATTTTGTGGTATCAATTTGTTCCTTTGATGATCACCATTTCATTTTTTTGTAAAAGCCTTTTTTCCTAAAAAAAAAAGCTTCGAAACAATTATTTCAATTGTTCATTCATTATTTGATTAAATATTCGATCGTTTTTTAATTGTCTCCTTCTATATATTTCATTAGCATAAAAATAAATTTTATTTTCGTGCTTGGTATTTTTTCTTTATTTAAGATAAATCGAATAAAATTAATATGAAATTCTATTGTCATTGATAAAATTCATTGATCGTACAGTTTATCGTCGTACTAGTACGATTTGGCTTCGTACTGTGCTTTTATGTCAAGTCGCCTAAAAGCAATCAATTCGTTCCGTTGACGAAGTTTTTGTAATAATTACCACGTGATTTATTTGAATTATGCAATCTTTGCATTTCTATACTTGCTCATCATCATAGAATAAAGTAACGAATAAATATTTATCACATGATCTATTTTGCATACAATTTTAAATTTTAATTTGATGTGAAACAATACTAAATAAATATTTAATAAAATTTGTTGTATTTTTATTGGTAACCATTGCATCAGAGTAGTTACACACTGAATCATTA